AGGTATACTGGGAATGGTAGTTCTTTAGAGGTTATGGAGTTAATTGATGCTGGGGCGGGGGGGCTTTCTTCCCATTTTTTTTGCCACCCAAAACTCATGAAAGAGCAAAAAATTGCGGTCCTTCTTAAATAAAGCATTGGAGGAAGGGTGGTGAAGAGGAGAGTGCTACTCAGCAGCTCCTTGGTGAGAACACTTGCTTAGGATGGCAGAGAGCTGTGTTCAGATCCCTCCTTTGCTTCCTTTGGAGATGGGGTTGGCACCCAGCGGGGTCATAAAGAGCTACTGATAGGAGGCATGTTTATGCCTAACACTTTATTAGCCTCACTGCCCATCGTAGCAAATGGGCTCTGTGCTGGAGATAACAGAGAGATCCCTTTCACATGCACGGTGCTGCTTCCTTATCAGCATGTGCTTCTCTAGTTTGTCACTTATTCCCATGTAACCATTAAAATCTGCACCCACTCTTAACTCCATCCTTTGTGCTGCATGTCAGGATTCAAAAAGGTTACATCATTATCAGTGTAAACATTCTTTAGAAATTTTTTATTATGTATGCACAAAGACAAAACCACGGAGATCAGATAAAGGATATTGCGGAATTACATGTTCCCAAACGAGCATCTAAAGGGAAGGTCATGGTGAATGTTATGCTGTTCTTAATAGTTCGGGCAGGGGGTCAGGACACCTGGTCCTAATCCTCTCTCTGTACTTGTCTTCGCTGCAGTGGTTGTGTTCCCTGGGTGGGTTCATCCCCACAACAAAGCCCTGTCCTCATTGTTTCTGGACTCTTTCATGATACTTATCAACCTGTTTCCTCTTTTCAAAATCTTCTAAGGACTTATGTGCACACAGTCAGGAGACGTGTGACATTTTTAGCCCACCATTAGCTCCTGTTTACCATGCTTATCTGTGGCATTGTATTCTGCATCCTACAACCGGGTTTGAATGGCCAGATCCTTGTGCCCATGCAGGGCACAAATGAACCCAGTAGCACTTCTCACTATCCTCTGGGTTCACACCCCTATAGTTGTAGGATGAGAGATCTGGTTCCCTTCACCATTCATCAATGACCTGGAAGAGGGGATAGAGTGCACCCTCAGCAAGTTTGCAGATGACATCAAGTTGGGTGGAGTAGCAGACATGCTGGGGGGGGGAGTAGGGTTAGGATTCAGAGAGACCTCAACAAACTGGAGGATTGGACCAAAAGACATCCCATGAGGTTCATTAAGGACAAGTGCAAAGTCCTGCAATTAGGATGGAAAAATCCCATGCACTGGTACAGGTTTGGGGCCAACTGGCTAAGTAACAACTTTGCAAAAAAGGAGCAGGCAAAGGAAGTTCCTCCTTTTATATAGGGGATGCTGGGGATTAGGGCCACAAGCCAATGGGCTAGGGAGAAAGGGATGGGCACAGGTGGACAAACATTAAGCATGGGCAAACCTTAGGACAAACATCCTACTACATGCACTTAGGATCTGGGTACTGTAATAGGTAATAAACAGTGACACTGTGGTGAAATCACCCAAGAACAGGTAACATGTAAGGAAAACTAATACTGTGGTATATACATTTGAGAAACCTTAAATCCTCCCACAACTCCAGAGGGACTTCCAACCAGCCTCTGGTCCCAAAAGGTCTTAATTCCCATCTGCCAGGGCTCCCATGCCTGAGCCCTGCTCCTGCAGCTCACAGTCCTGGCTCTGCCACTCCTGAGTCTCTGACCATGCATCTCTCACCTGTGACATCCCACACTTTATCACTGCTTTTCTGCTTCCTCCCATCCCCTGCAGGCTTCTGGGAACTGTAGTGGACATTACAGTTCATTCCTCCAGTCCTCTGGAGGCTTCTGGGAGTTGCATTTCACACTACAGTTCCTTCTTCCAGTCCTCTGGAGGCTTACAGGAGCTGTAGTTCACATTACAACATTACAATATATGACATTCAACATCACAGTCCATTGCCCAGCATCAAAAGTGAGAATGAAAAAGAGCCTTTGGAAATGCATGCAAATTCTGAATACATACCTCAGTTTATTTGATATAAATGACACACACGTATATAGAACATACTATAAGAACACAGTTTCAATAATTATTTTGTCAGCAGGGACTGAGCTAGCTGCTATGCTTGCAGACAGCACTTGCACCCTGGCAAACAGTGGTAAGATCTATACAAGGATAAATGGAGGGGAAGGAGTTATATTGGTAACTTCTGACATGTTTTAAAGCCCATCTAAAACAAGCCTTGGGAAATACAGTAGAGCCCACAGCCAAGGGAAATTTTGTTAAGCACAGATATGTATTTCTTTAGGTTGATGGGGGAGCAAAGCGTGATGCTGCCTGTGGTGTTACTTGTTTACTGTTCTTGCCATGTGCCAGTGAAGATTGGGGACCACTGACTTAAAGGCTCATGGTTAGGAAAATGCCAGTGTTGTGAATTCAGTTTATTGTCTAATGCAGAATTTATTCCAAGTGACGCCCAAAATGTTGTGTAGGCTATGAGACCTGTTTCACTAGCTCCATCCAAGTCCATGGGACTCTGATGCGCTCCCACAACTGAAGAGCTGGTCTGTGAAATATGCACTGCTTTTCAATGTAAAGATGGTGTGGGATAAATGAAACCTGGTTTTTGCCTTTGCTCTCATTTTTACCTTCCCCTGTAGCACACAGCCTTCCCTGACAAAGCAGATTTCAGTTCAAACACTGAAAATTAATACTTTCCATAGGAATATGATTGATAGACAGATGTATCCCTCCCCAAAAGTATGACCCCCTCCAGTTCTCACTTAAGTGTCCTAATGATTTTGGTGAGAATTGGCTTGAGTTCCTATGTCCTAGCTTGAGAAGGACTTCAACTCTGTCTGGTTTACCAGGCACAGATCTGTGCCTTCAGCTAATGGCATCCATAACTGCAGGTCCAAAGACTAGCATTAGTGCTGCTGTCGTGTAATTCAGGGTGCTGACAGAAGTGATGGTTGTAGTGTGATTGGGCCCCAGAAGTGCTCTACAAGCATGCACTGACAGAGATGCATGGCTGTAGAGTGCTTTAAAAATGCCGGATGGCGTGACAATCTGAACTCTCCAATCCACCCACCCCACCCTCCAGTGCAGGCTGAGCAAACCCCAGACTGAGCTCCCTCCACTCCTTTCCCCCACTCCCTTTCTGAAAACAGCACTGGGGATGGCAAAGGGGGTGGGGGGGGTGGGTGAAGGGGAGAGTGGCTGCAGACCCACAGATGCTCTGAATGGAGCTTAATCTCCCAGGCTCCTGGACCCAGCAACCAATGTCTGTAGGGTCAGGGAAAATGCTGTAACTCATGGTGCTTCTTCCAAAGTGCCATGAGTTACTTCAGACAGTTGCATGTCTGTCAGCACCCTTAGGTGCAACTACTTGCAGACTCAGTTGCAAATGCAAATTTTGCCAGTAAAAATAGCTGCTGAGTGGTAAAGCTAAATCCTAAATAGTGCAACAAGCTTAGGTTGCAGTTTCCTAAAAACTGGGGAGCCACTGATGTCTTTTTCTGTTGGTTAACTACATGCAAAACTCTTCCAACCTCCATCTCTTTTTAGAGCTTTTGCTATATTTAGGATCTTGCAAAGATACCTGTCTTTGAATTCACTGATAAATGAAAGGTGGAATATGTTTGACTCAAATCCAAAGCCTCTAAATGGTTTCTTGTTTAAATTTACACCACAAAATCCTGTGTAAAAGTTTACCAAGAAAAATAGGGGGAATGGTACATTTTTCACATGGTTTTTGAAGCATTGTTCATATTTAAACATAGCCAGTTATATGAAAAACAAGCCTCATACAATAGAACTACCAGTTGACCCCCAATTTTTCTCTTTGTCTCTTTCTCTTATGTTGCTTGCAAAACATTTATTTTTTTCCCTCCCCAATGTCATAAATCATAAGCATAATTAAATTTATTTTTCTTTTTATTTGGACTGTACTATGGAAGATTGTGAAACTCCTACCTTGGACTGACACACCACTCTGTAATTTAGTCCATTGATTTCAGGCCTTCCATTGTTCAATACAATAATGTAGCTTTCACTGTGTATAGAGTCTGACCCTAAACCTTTATTCAAGCACTTCTGTTAACACCTATGGAGCTGAGATGCACTCCCAAGAATTGCCATGTATCCAATGTCAACACCTAAGCTGCATCCAAGAGAAAGCCAGAGTAGATCTGATTGGCTTAACCCTGTTTATGAAAAATCCCTCTTACTTGATAACATTCACCTGTGTTTGCTCAGGCCGGTATGATTTAAATAGAAATAGAAGGTGAATCTTCATGTCAGATACTCCAGGCAAGTTATCCAGCAGTTACCAGCCAGAATTAACTAGACAGTGCATGGCCTTCTACAACTGTACAGATAGTGGGGAGTTGAACTGGCCCTTAACAGCTGTCTCAATGGGGTGTTAACTCTGGGAACAACCATCCTTCCCACCTTAAATACTACATGCAGTTTGGAAGCACAGTTGGTCTCAGAGTTAACACCACACTGAGATGGTTGTTAAGTGCCAGTTCTGCTCCCCATTATCTGTACAGTTGTAGAAGGCCATGCACTGTGGCAAAACCAGCATGATGATGGGTAGGAAAGGACCCTGGGCAGAAGATATACACAGACAAGGGGGCAGGGCCCATAGGAGGAGAGAACTACACTGTATTGGTCCATTGGCCATTTCCTTTTACTTAGTAGAGGTGAATATTGCCTGGAGGCTATTTCTGCCCTATGATTGCTTCATTTTTATGAACTAAAAATAGAAAGACTGGGAAGAGAGAATATTTTCCTCTAGTACTGGAGAAAGCCTCATAGGGGAAGAATTCAAGCAATGCACTTATTCCTGCTTATGGCATGGATTGAATTTAACATCTTTCTAAACTGCAAAGGGACAGTGATGTCTCTGCTTGTTTTCTTCTCACTAATCCAGCACTTCCATCCCTGACAGCTCAAAAATTGAGTGGCTGGCCTAAAAATAATGATTTTTTTCCCCCAAAGAAATCATCATTTGGGGGTTGTTTTTATTTGCCGTAGTTTCTAGTTGTCTGCAACTGTGGTAAAATCACAGGAGTTAGAAACGCAACAGATCAGTGCTCTTTGTCTGTCTCTGCATGTGGGTTTTTGCAAAGGTGGGGTTAGTTACCTCTTCATTGGGCCATAACAAGACCATGAGCTAGAACGTCAAACTTTGGCACCGCTGATAAATGGCACCATCTTATCCACTTTCCTTGCTAATAGATATCTATCTCATCTACCTGAAATGAAGCCAACCTCTGTTCAATCTCAGGTCCTGGCTGGAAAGTTTCCCAGAGGGGTTGTCTTCTTCATTGCTTTGGATTCAGCCAGTATGGATTGGTACCTGTTACAGGTACTCATAATCCAGTGCAGTAGCTATGGAAGACAATAAATGAACACCACTGAGGAAAAAATCTCTCCATTTGAAAGTGAATGATTTTCTCTTGATGGTATTGCACACCAGTCAGCCTATTCTGGGAACCACATTGTGCTGCTGTTTTTGGAATCACAAAGTATATTTCTGCCTTAGCATTTACACCTCACAGGAGGGCTGGTGATGTTTCTTCATTGCCAAGTAATAGGCCCAGTTGGCTTCTGGGTAAGTGACTTTGGAGAGAGGCAACTTGTAGATGGAGGAGTTCTTTGTGGTCATCAACAGAAAGGTAAGGGCAGACAAGCAGAAGGCCCAGGTACCTGATGGCAATCCAAACTGTGGGGAAAAAAAGAGAATAGTTCTTATTTGGATTTAGTGGAATCTTCCAGTCTTAACTAATTCACTGAATCATAGACAATGAGGGTGGAAGGGACCTCAGGAGGTCACATCTAAGTCTAAACCCCTGCTCAAACCAGGACCAGCCCCAACTAGATCATCCCAGCCAAACCTGTGTCTACCTGGGTCTTAAAAAACCTCCAAGGACGGAAAGTCCACAACTTCTCTGGTAGCCTGTTCCAGTGCCTTATTACCCTCCTCATAAACACCTTTTCCTAATATGTAACCCAAACTTTGCTTGCTGCAACTTGAGACCATTGCTTCTTGGTCTGTCATCTGCCACCACTGAGAACAGTCCTCTTTGGACTCACCATATAGGTAGCTGAAGGCTGCTATTAACTCCCCTCTCAATCTTCTCTTCTCCAGACTAAGTAAGTCCAGTTCCCCCAGCCTCTCCTCATCAGTCATGTCCCCCAGCCCCCGAACCATTTTCATTGCCCTCCACTGGACTCTTTCCAACATGTCCACATCCTTTCTGTAGTGGGGCGCCCAAAACTAGACACAATACTCCAGAAGTGGCCTCACCAGTGCTGAATATCTGGGAAGAGTCACTTCCCTTGATCTGCTGGCAACACTCCTACCAACACAGCCCAGTATGTCATTAGCTTTCTTCATAACAAGGGCACAGTGCTGGCTCATATTCAGCTTATTATCCTCTATCACCCCCAGGTCCTTTTCTTCAGAGCTGCTGCCCAGTCAGTCAGCCCCAGCCTGTACTGGTGCATGGGGTTGTTCTGTCCTAAGTGCAGGACTTTGCACTTGTCCTTGTTGAACCTCATGAGATTTCTTTGGCCCAACCCTCCAATTTGTGAAAGTCTTTCTAAAACCTAGCCCTACCCTCCAGCATATCTACTACTCGCCACAGCTTGGTGTCATCTGCAAACTTGCTGAGGGTGCACTCTACGCCATCTTCCAGATTGTTGTTTGAAGAAAACTGGTCCCGGGACCAACCCTAGGGGTACTCCACTTGGTACCATCTGCCAACTAGGCATCAAGCCATTCATTATTACTCAGTCAAAGCCAGCAGACCTGGAATGAATCTTCTCCAAAAGAAGACTGTATTTATTTCCCAAGGATATAGCAGCCCCTCTCCTCTTCACCAAAACAAAGCCATCTGTTGATAGGATGATACCATTATGTGGACCAGTCCCATACAGTGAGTATGGCTACCGAGGGAAAGGTATAAATCTTTCCTTCTCATGTCAGTGTAACCTCAGTGAAACCGAGTGTAAAGCAAGGCAGCATTTGGCCTGTTGGCTGTAGATCAGAGCACAGGAATGGAAGTTAGGATTTTTTTAAATTCTCCTCCTGTTGTTTCACTGACTCATCTTTGGGCCCCGAGTAGGATACTGAGAACTAGATTTTTCCAGGTATGTTTGAGGACCTTGGCCTCTCCCTCTCAGATTTCTACATATAAATTATGACTAATTCTCCTTACTTCATGGAGGTATGATAGGCTTGCTAGTTAACGTGCCAACTGTATGTTGTGGATGTTAAGTGCTAAGTCATTATTATTGTTAATGAATTTTAATGAGTGTTGTAGCTATCCCCTGAGGCAAAACTTGTCCCTGCTGGTAAAACTGAGGCTCTTAATGGGACAGACCTGCTCTGTAAATATAACTGTGTTACATCCCCTGGGAAACACTAGTGATGAAGAATAAGTATCAGAGGTTTGCATTCTGTCCTAGGCAACACAGCTCCCTTCCCTGTTATTTGTCCCTGAGTTAATTAAAACTTACCACAGAAAACATATTAGCCAGAGATGCTCCTAGATAGGCAGTAAAGAGAGCTGTGAAGAGAGACAGAGAGATTGTTCCTGGTAAGTAAGACTGCTCACAGCCATGGGGAATGAGGTAGGACAGCTGAACAAGCCCTTCCACTGCCCTGGATGGTTTTTTCCTGCTGTCCTAGCTCTGTCTTTTGTGAGAGCACAGGTGTTATCTATAGTATGGACTTCACCTTTCATAGATATCATCCCTTCCAACTTGGGCCCCCATGCATGGTGTACAGAAATCATATACTGCAGTAGAAATGCAACAATGAAAAAAAGCCGGATCGAGGAAACAATCTTTGGAAATGTTTGTGCAGAAACTGCAGTGAAGTGGCCTTACGAGGTTCCTATGGAATAGAAAATACACCCTTCCCATGTAGCCGTTTGGTTTTCCTCGCTCGGACAGACTATAAAGTGTGCCAGTGAAGGAAGAAAGCAAAATCTCAATGATGCGTTTGGGTTTCACCCTAAGATCTACATTATCCTGATCGGACAAGGAATTGCTTTATATAGCATTTCTCAAAGAACTGTGTGCTTTTTGGTTTGCGCTCCATTTATAAATTATATGTAGTGCTTAGGGTCGGAAGGGACCTAAACAGATTATCAGGTCTGACCCCCTGCCCCAGGCAGGAATAGGTGTGGGGTCATAACACCACAGCCAAATATCTGTCCAGCCTCCTCTTGAAGACCCCCAAGGTCGGAGAGAGCACCACCTCCCTTGGGAGCCCTGACTGTGGCTTTACAGTATAGTTTCAGGTAGAAGTAAGTTTTGAGAAAAGTTTTTCCTTGACCCTCTCTAGAGTTTCGAGATCTGCAGAAGCAGTTTTTGTCCCTCCCCAGTTTCCATTCACCAATACGATGCATTTATGAGTATCAAGTGAATGTGCTCGATACATCAGGACATGTCCATATACTTATCACTGGTCCCAGACATTTGCTTCCTTTTGTTGGGATACAGTGCTTGGCTGAGGGCAAAATTCATAGTTTTGGTTTGCCCTTGTGTGGTAAGAGGGGTGGCCCTGAATCAACACCTCCAAGCTAAAGGCCCTTCGGCCTTGTCTGAATTCATCTGCTTGTCTAGATGAGGACACTGTAGCTTCAGCACACCTCTAGTTTTTCATTTCCAAAGTAATAGCAGAAGCCCCATAGACACATACCACAAGCAACTGAAAGCAGGAGAGTCTGCCAGGTGTAAGCATAGAAGATGCCTCCAATTGCGATGCATGAGAGGCAGCTGTTGTAGTTCCACAAGCCGGAGTAGATGTTACTGAAAGGTGCTGCCAGGCTCAGGGCTGTAAAGGAAATCAGAAATAAGTCAGAGCTGAGCTCAAGGGAGAGAAGCAGCTGAAATCTAGAATGAAGCAGGCGTTTGAAGAGCTCTGTTCTAGATGCGACCTACGACCATTCCTCCCACACTCGGTTTTTACTCATGCAGATGTTGACCTGGATTAAGTCTACTGAAGCCAGTGGAGTTACTCTGGACTTCGCTTGGTGAACCTGGGAGCAGATTCGAGCTGTACGAGTGGAGTAGGAGATACATGAGTGAATGGGAGAGGTTTTGCCACCTGCCCATTTCAGAACCAACAGCTTTGTCTCATTCAGAAAATGATTACCCAAAAACCAAAAGTAAGTACATTTCTAGTTTATGTATTGAGTTTGATATAAAAATATTTCAGCCCTTCAAACTTTATGACAACAATGAAGATGAGAATTTCATCTAAAACATGTAAACATTCAAATTTGTAGTTGAAAAATGAAAACTTCCACCAACATATTTGAAGTTTTGTCAAACGTTCTTTTTTGTCAGATACTTTCCGTTGGAAACATATTTTTTGATGGCAGCATTTTTCACTGGGTCTAATTCTCTTTATTTCAAGTGTGCGTGTACAATATGGGATCATAAGAAAATAGGGCCGGTAGGGACTTGAGGAGGTCATGTACTCCAGTCCTCTGCTCAAGGCAGGATCATCGCTGACTATATTATCCCAGTCAAGACACCCATAAAATAGAGAATTTATACCTGCCACTACCCCCACCGCTGATCCGATCACAGCATGCAGACAAATGAGCGGAGAGGAAATGAGCAAAGCAACCAGGAAGATGCCTCCAGTCCAGGGGTTATCACAGCCGTACACCTGTCCAACTCCAACGGGAATGGATTGGAACAACTATATCAGTTTGAAAAAGATAAGTTTTTATCTAGTCTATGATTTTGTTTTTAACGTTGATGTCCTGAAGTGCAAACCTGTGAAGACAGCCCAAATGCTAAATAGAGATTTGCCCTTAGTAATTACAAGAGGATGAAATGCAAACTCTTAGGCCTGTGGGCAGTTGAGGTTGAGGATGTTAATATGGGCAATGGGGAGGAGTATGAGATGTCACTCATGAGGAGTATGAGATCCCAGTTGCCCGTTCACGCATTTTGCTGCCTAGCGAATCTGTACAAGACTTGGACCCACCACTTATGGATGGTACCTATGCAATTTAATAGGAATAAATGAGTAGGAGTCCACAGATAGTTTTCTAAGTAACTATACGACTTAATCAAAATATCCCCTTTTAAAGTTTATTTTTTTCACTAATATTTTAAAATTCAAAGCCAAGGATTCGGTTTTCTATTGAACTCTATATAGAGTGACTCTTTTGCATTTAAACCTTACATAACATTCCCTTCCATCACATCACTCTCATACACCGTTCACTTTTTTAAAGCCTTGTGATGAGTCACCACCAGCGTTTCGAACCACGATGGTCGCAAGACAGAGCTTTGAGTCTGTCCGAGCCAGGTCCATCTTTCACAGGAAATCTTCCTGATTTTAAGGCCAGAGGAAACCATTACATCATGTAGCCTGACCTGATTTACAGACCAGTTTCATCTAGTTACTGATGGATCGAACCCAAGAACATGTTTGATTAAAGGAGTCTGGATATGAAGGCTTGGTAGATCTTGATAGTTTGCTTCAGTCCTTAATCATTCTCACTGTTAAGCATCGGGCCCAATTTCTCCTGTGAATGTTGCTGTCTTCAGTTTCTATTCATTGGTTCTTCTTATGCTTTCTTTTGTTATATGAATGAGCCTTTTAGTACCCTGCATTTTCACCCCATGTAATAAATGTCCTATTCTGTAATCAAGCCACCTCTTCATCTTTTTGAGGTCTTTATAACATATTTTCCAGGCATTTCACCTGCTGCTATGGGTTTTAAAGCAGCTGATTACTTGCACACAGGAGTGATTTCCACCGCAAGATCTTTTTAAGGGTGCTGCAGGGTATTGGGGAAATAAGCAACTGCTCCTCCTCTCTGTGCCTGGTCCCTGGGCGAGGTGGTAAATACTGCATTAAATACATGAGTTTTTGAAATAGGGTGCAGCTCAAGAGAGATGTTATGAAAGGGTGCCTCGAGTCTGAAAAGGTGGAGAACCGGTGAGGAACCACAGAAAAATATATATTCAGGATTATAGGCTTTCTTGGTGCTTGCAACCAGCCTGTGCTTCATAGCTGCCACTTCTGGGGACTTTTTCGTAGAATCATAGAAAATGAGGGTTGGGAGGGACCTCAGGAGGTCATCTAATCCTAACCCTTGCTCAAAGCAGGTCCATCCCAACTAGATCATCCCAGCCAAGGCTGTGTCTACCTGGGTCTTAAAAACCTCTAAGGATGGAGATTGCACCACCTCTCTGGGAAATCTGTTCCAGTGCTTTACTGTCCTCCTAGTGAGAGAGATTTTCCTAATATCTAATTGAATCTTCCCTTGCTGCAACTTGAGACCATTCCTCCTTGTTCTGTTATCTGCTACCATCAAGACAGTCCAGCTCCATCCTCTTTTGAACCCCTCTTTAGGTAGTTGAAGGCTGCTATTAAATCCCTTCTCAGTCTTCTCTTCTGCAGACTAAATAAGCCCCTCTCCCTCAACATCTCATTATAATTCATGTTCCCCAGACCCCTCACCATTTTCACTGCCCTTCTGCTGGACTCCCTCCCTTTCATCTGTTAAAAGGTGTCTTAATGCATCCCCCATTATAGTCAATGGCAGTCAAGTTGGACCTCACAGAGCCTAGGCTTGAACAAACCTACGTGTTGTTAATCTTTCCCTGGCCCTCACATTTCTGGATCCCAGATCTTTCCAGACTTAGGACCTTTATGTTTCATTTGCATAGGACAGAAATTAGCCTGGTGTTAATAGCTAAAGGGAGAGCTCCTCTCAGTTCCACCCTTAGGTCCAGTCTCAGTACAATCGCATGATTACCAGTGTCCTCTCTCTTTGCAAGAATGCATTTTGGGGAATTTTAGTCACATGTGCCAGGGAAATGACACAGTTCATCACGAATCTCCCTTACTCGTTCAGCTGCTTCTTACCATCCATCCTTCATTTAGCCATGTAAAGCTCACAGTTGGATGTGTTAATATGTAATTCAGAAGAGACCTATGTAGAGGGGGGAATTCATTTATTTCCAGGAACTGACAACTTCTGCCTTACTCCTCCAAGACAAATACCTCATTTTAATGAACATTCATTTGATGCTCTTTCCCTTTGGCCTGTCAGCAAAAAAGGGCTTACAGTTTTGGAGAGCCATACAAAAAATTAGAAGATGGTTCCTAGACGATACCTTTTATTAGACCAAGTTTCCCAGTTGGTCTAATATTAGGGACCAATATTAGAACTCTCGGTTCTAACTTTTGGAACCGAGAGTTTTAATATTAGACTGGCTGGGAAAGCTGGTCCAATAAAAGGTATCGTTTTGGAGCCAAGAGTCCTAGTTTTTTGGATGTTTTCCTGTCTCAGTCCAACACGGCTACCAAGTACACCCCGGAGAGCCAGCAGGGCGTTTCTATGCAGTCTTCTCTTTCAGCTTTCAAGTCATACATGCAAATAAGAAAAAAGGGTTTCTAATTCCTTCACCTGATCTCAGTGACTATGGGGATGTGTGGAGTATTTGCTGTCCCTGGTTGAAGAGCAGTGCAGGGTGTTGGTTTTTTTCCTATGCTTTGATGGTTGCCACAAGGGAGAGGAAGTGATCTCTTCCTCTCTTTTTGCTATGGGCGTCAGGGCTTTTTTTCACCTTTCTGTGGCCGATGCTGGGGATTTGGACGGGGGCGTGTCAGTGCTCCTGTTGGAACTGAAACTTGGACGTTCCTGGTTAGACCGTCTTGCCCCTTTGCTCAGAGTAAAACTAGACTGGTTTGTAACTCCATTTATTTCACTGGAGTTTTGCCCTTTCCACCCACAGAGAATGTGCCCTGACTGTCTTGCTTTCCCCAAACTTTCTTTGGGGTGACCAGGAGTTTGAAGTACATTAGCAATGAGGGATCAAAGAGACGAACTACCCTCTGTAGGGGCGCGCATAGTTTCTGGTTTCATGATATTCCCAGTGGTATGGACTGCCTTTTTCATATATTTCTCATACTCATTAATTAGAAGCTGAAAAACAACATCTTTCTTCACTGGTTTTTATTCCCCACATGGTGAAAGCCGGTTGCTTTCTCTTGTCTGTCTTAAGATGTTTAAAATTAAAATGTCCTTTTTTACAGGCTTTTTTTTTTTTTTTTTTTTTTTTTTTTTTTTTTTTTTTTTTTTTTTTTATACACCAGCATTAATTAATGAAGGGGACACAACTTTGGAATAACGCTGACTGTTTAATAGGAGCAAGAGCACTGGAGCGTAAAATATTTGTACAGGTCCGGCAGAAATACTGACTCTAAAAAAAATTGGTGTGTCTGCCTGGACATGGATTTTTAATGCTAGCCTTGTGGTACTCTCTATATGCTAATTTCTTAACAAAAGGCAAATTATGTCTTAATTAATACACTGTATTATTTATAGATAACACAAAAATGTAATCCCGGCTTTAAATGAAATTCTGAATGCAGCCTTAAGTATGCAGTCATAACCAATGTCTCCATGGTAACGCATACATAGACTCCAGAGATTAATTGAAGATGATCACATATACTGATAGGTCCAGTTGTCTACAAAAAGACACTTGGCAACTCTAATACTGAACTCGTCACAACAGGCAATCATCATAGTCAAGCTTCACGCATTGCTTTGTAGTTGCCAGGTAAACACAAAATTATATGGCTGCTTCCTTTCTTTGTCCCATAAAATAAACAGCCATGGCACTTTGTGGGTTTGCTTTGTAAATGGAGAAGGATCCTTTTGTGACTTACCTTTGGCACTTCAATAGCAGTCCAGGTGATGTTAGGTACAGAGGTTAAAGGCTGAATGAGTGTTGCAGGAAAGAAGGGGTTATAGTGTCCGGTGGCAGCCACATATAAAGTCAGGGCAAAGTTGAAAGGCAAGGTGAAGACAGGAACATCCCACTTGCTGAAGACTGAGCCTAAAGCACTGCTGAAAATGGGGCTGAAAGAGAAAGACAAATGATCTTACTGCAAGTTGGTGAGATGAATGCCTCGGATCGCAGGGACTGGAAAAACTATCTATGACTGTGACAGAATAATATATGATAGTAGGAAATATATGGTCTTCATCGCCTCTGCTTTTTGTTAAGAATTGCTTTCAGTCCGGAAGTCCTTCCGATAACACTGGGTTTATTTTTGGGCACCTTGCAAGTCCTACATGCCTACTGGTACACTGCAGCCAGCAAAATCCAGAGTTCATTTAGGATAATCCCATACAATGACCTTTACATATCAGAAGATTTTGATTATCCTAAATATATTCCAGACCCGATTTCAGCTGGTGTGAACTGGGGAAACGCTCCATTGGTTTGTTCCTATCCTTTCAATTTACATTTGCTGAGGACCGGCCCTTAATTGATTAGCACTAGAGCCATGCTATAGCCATGTCTAAGTGAACTGTAAGAAAACATGTATCCTCATTTCATACACAAGGCTCATCTAAATGCAGAAAGCCAAAGATATGTGCATTGCAGCAGCACAACTGGTTATACCTCTGCACACACATCGCAGGCAAACAACAGATTCTGAATTTTTGATAACCCCAGCAAAGTATTCTGGTATTCAGATAACTGATTCCTCAAATTCAAGTTGTCTGGCAACTTGCCTTGATCACCTTGTCTGCTGGGCAAGCAAAATATCATTAGCTGTTTAGTTTTCATTAGCATCAATCATGATGCTTTAGGGCAGTTGAGCATGGTTTTTTTTTTTAATTGCCTGGAGTAGTAATTATTCGTGACACTTTTATAAGCTTGCTTCTAGCACCCATTTATCAAAGTAAAATAATACAGAAATGAAACAATTGTGCTTTATGATGGTAGGGAACAGTGAAAGTAATGTTTCTGTTCACAGTAAAAGGAGTCCTTGAAATACAGCCATATGGCTAATAGCTGAGACTTGAACATGAATTTGATGTGCTGAATTGTAAATTTATTTTAAAAAAGGATTATTTTAAGCTTTAATAAGGATAAACAGTGAGGAAAAAAAAGTATTGACTTAAAAGAAAATACGTATCTATTATGATTTTATTAGTTTAAGACGGGTCGACAACGTTTTTGGGCAGACTGCCAAAAACACCCACAACTTCAACTTGTAAGATGTTGGTGTGCCAGGGGTGGATAGTGGGGGAGCCATGAGGGGCCCGATCCTTGTTGTGGCCATGCAGCCCTGGCCCCTTCCCTGCCATCTACCCAGAGGCATGTATGCCAAGCAAAATGCCTTTGAGTGCCACTCTCTGGCCCCTGTGCCCGGGGTTGCCTACCCCTGATTCAAGATCTACGGTAGAAAAGAGTATAAACATTTTCTGGTTTGAGAAGAGGAGGAATGAGAAGCCAAGCAAAGAAATGTTTAGTTTTTCACAGAAAACAAAGCCCGTGTGTGACTTACCATGTCATGGACGTCAGAGCAACAGGGAGAAGAAGCCACCAGTAATAGTCCCCCTTGTCAGAGAAGACAGCCATGAGCAATCCCACCAGGACTCCATTATAGCCGTGTAGGCCTGCTGCTATGGCTGATCTGTGAGGACCAAGACAGTTGCCTTGAAACCTTTCATTGAAAAGCCAGTAAATACTTCATGAGCATTGCCCTATCCCTCCACCTGCTTGGACTCTCTGCTCCTTGTGCTGGCAAGTGAATTTCCAGATCCCTTGTGTGTCTTGTCAGCAGACTTACACTAATGTAAAGCCAGTGGGGGAGGAAGAATCAGGCTCTGGTGGTCTTGGCTGGCAGACCTCTGCTACATTCACTTCTGTCTTGGGTTTCAGGTAATGGATTGATCCTTCTGCAATACAGACTTCTTGGTGATTGTGGGCAAGCCATTTGATTTCTTTAAGATTCAAGTCCTATCTGTGCTGTGGGGATACACTTCTGCCTGTTGCCCATCCTGTTGGCGTAGACTGAGTGCTCCTGGGGGTACGGTTGCCTCTCACTTTGAGTAGTTTCTAACACAATGGGGCCTTGATGTTGGTTGGAGTTGTAGACACTAGCATCATACAAATGTAGTGAACAGCCTGAGCAGCGATGGGTCAGTACAGGGCAGTGAGGTTATTCTCTCCCCCTTTGTTGATGAGGGACACAGATCGCCAGCAGGGAAGGGTACTCTGGCAATTAGGGAGGATGGGTCAAAGTCTGTCTTGGGAGAAACCCAGCAGGAACCTGTAGCAGGTGCATCGTGGCCATGGCAGACGCTAACAAATACTGCATCCAGAAAAGGGTCAGCACTCCCAGCCAGAACCTCAGACCCCATAAGGGGACAAAAAAAATGATAGTAAATAATGACAGCAGCAACCCTTCAGTAGTACTGTGGGGGGACCTCAAAGTACGACAAGTTAAACAAGATCTATGGATTAGGTTGGGGAGCTCTCACAATGTTCATTTGTTCCTCCTTGAAGTGCCCAGCTAACCCCAATATCAAAAAAAGAAGGCTAAAAATCCAAAAGGCACATAATGGGCAGCCCCCATCCTTAACCCAACACAGACTCAAATCCAATTTGCTTAAAATAATAAATGCACATGCATAAATACACATACACATGCATAATGCACATTCATAAATACACATGCCCTCTAAGCCTCCCTTGCAGCAAAACCGGACAGGTTAACAGCCCTGGACTCTGCCACACTTAGTCCAGCAGATACTCTGCTTAGAGTCAGGACTCCCAGGGCCTGAGGTGTTTAAAGACCAGGGATGTCTCAAGTATATTTAACAACCCTTGTAGAAGCAGGATACTGGCTCCCGTTGTCCCTCTGCTGTACCTGTGACATGTTCAGGTGTTATGCCCGCCCTATGGCTGTGTGTCAGAGTGAATGGTGTAGTTTTACAAATAGATTAGACAAGGATTTGTATAAGATGGTTTGGATAGGGCTAATCCTGCCCAGGCAAGGGTTTGGACTAGACGACCTCTCAAGGTCCTTTCCAGCCCTCCTTCTCTATCATTCTTTACCCCAGGAAGACTATACTAGACTCGTGTAGAATAGAAAAGATTGTATTTCTCTGGATACTTGAAACCAGATTCTCAGCCATGGTACTACGGCACCCTGGGGTGCCTCATAATCTTTTCAAGGGTGCCACGAGATGCCACACAATATTAGCTCCACTAGGTGTGCAAACACGATTCGCAAGGTAAACCCATCATTTTCCAAGAGAAATTCATCGTGTTAAAAGTGTTGTCTGTGTGGTCTTTCTGAGTTCTTTGCAACAGAAGAAAAGCTTTATTATTTTTCTGTAGTCAAGAATGGGGTGAAAACTAAGACATTTTCTGAGTGGTGCCTCCGGTTTAAAAAGGTTGTGGACCACTGCGTTAAGCAAAGACGACGCTAGCTTTTGAACACCAGCAAAAGGACAACATTTAAAAAGAAATGAATCTTGTTTCTCACTTGTCACAGCACTTCCAATGTGAATCTGAATTCTGGGATCCTACCTATCCTGGCTCAGGGTGAGTGCGGTTAAAGTTGAGACAACTGTTCCTAAACAGCCCGTGATTGCCCACCATGGACTCTGGACCAGGAACCCAGCAATCAGGATCAGTCCACTGAGAGGGTTGTTGACAAACATCACCTGGGATGTCCCGCGTAGGACCCAGTCAATAAACTGAAACACGAGAGGTTTATCTGCAAGAGATCCAGTTAAATGCACAAATGAGATGGATCCAGGACGGTTTTTCTTGAAATGCACCAAGAATCTTGGCAGCAAAACGGAGACAATGTATCAACAAGACTGTAAAACCTGACTCAGCTTTATTACCGTCTGCACGCAGTTTTCCAGCTGGAAAGCTAACTGAGATGAATGGCGTCGTTCCTGGAGTTCCCTGCTATAAAGTGTGCGGGGCTGGTTTCATACCTGCTAGTTTATTTATGATGCCTGTACCTCAGGTTGTAGATAGCATGAGTATCCACCCCCCCGGACTGATTGAGGGGGTGAAAACACGCTACATATGTGTAATTTAACGCCAGGCTTGATGTATATCACTCTGCGGAAAGGAGGTGGAAAGTTTTAAGAAACAACCCAACATAGAAATAAATACCCACTGTCATGCTCGCTAGATGGCATGCACTTCTCTGCAATGGGATGAACCCAAAGGAGTGCAGATCATCTCACTCCTCCCCTGCTCTCAACCCCTGGGTGCTGTGGTAGCCCTTCGGACAAAGCTGCATTGCAGTGGAGACATGGATTGGTACAATAATTTCTGTTCTAGTAGGAGCTGAAGCAGATCACCCACAAGGTTATTCATTAGCGACCATTGCTTTTTTGGTCTTTGGCTGACATTAAAGGGGGTTACCTCTAAGCCAGTCTTCAAACTCCTTCATGTCTCCTGTGATATAGCCAAGGACTCTGCAGACTCTCTTTCCACCTTTGCTCACTGGATTCTGCTTTGTGGTCTTCCTCGCCCCATTCGTTTCTATCTTAACATCGACACTGTCCTCCATGGCAGCTTTCTGACCCTTTGGTGAGATTCAGGAAAGGTAATGATGCATTACATAATGCCCCAAAATATCCATTATTTATTCTCTCTGCCACGCAGTACTAATTGCACACTGCAGCTGGCAGCTGCTGGAGGGAAAGTGGCCTCGTATGGAAATTTCTGTTTCTTAGAAACAGTATTCAGCATAGTTAGCACAGTGGTTCCCAAATGGCGGCCTGCAAACCCCTGGTGGTCCATGAAGCCATGGTAAATGAGCCATAGCTTGCACGCACCCTTTCTTTTAAGTAAAAGTTGGATGATCAGGTCCATAAGAGAGGTCAATTGATGGGGAAGTCCAGTGGTCTCCCATAAAATTACCAACTGCAACACAGGGAAACTGTTATAATAAACACACACGCTTCTTGAGATCTGCATGAGAAGATCCCTAGTCTCCCTTTAGCTTCTCTATATGGTCCAGCAACATTTTAATATAATCATAAATTTGAAGGCCAGACAAAATCTTGGGGATCTTCTCCCTTGCCTTGCATCAGAACATCAGCCTTTGTTTCTTAGCCCGTTATAACCTGCATTCAGCTTAAACATATTATTTTGCAGAAATCAAGCAATTCATGTTTAAAGGGTGACTTCACCAGGGCTGAGATTTCAGATCGGAGTTTTTCTATTGACTTTTATGAAGTAAAGATTTAAAGCCCCCCAGACTCCAAGTGTTGGGGACTCCAGCCCATCCTCCGGGAGCTGCCTCATTGATTAGGTGGTCTTACTATTAAAAAGAAAGAGAACAATTCTCATTTCCAGTTCATATTTGTCCAGCTACTTCTTCCAGCCATCAAAAATGACAGTAGGCTTATAACTTCCTCTTCAGTCACTTAAATGAGGGTGAAGTTTACCAGTTCAGATAAGCCTAAAGTGAAAGACTTACATAAAATTTACCACGATTTTAGTAGCCTGATTTCTGCATACACTGAGCACTCATTCAAGAGACTAAAGCCCTAGTCAAAGATCCCTCATTGGCATCAGTGGGATTTTGATCAGACCTTTATAAGAAGGCAGGACTCTAATGATAGGCATCACTGGCTCGGCCAATTCCTAAACCTTTCAGTTTGCTTCTAGCTGCTTTGACAGATTGGGCCAATCCAGGCTGGGACTGTCATGGTTTAGTCTGGGGTGATCCTGACTTGAGCAGGACACTGAACTAGATGACCTTGTGAGGTCCCTTCCAGCCCTACTTTCTTATGATCGTATGTGATAGGATGTTCTTGTTATTTCCAATGTGGTTCCTTGTATTTGTGGGTGAAGATTCAGAGTGCTGGTCCTAGGGTTTCCTTCGGTTAATGAGACGATGAATGCAGGGAACTGAAATCGGTGGCCCACAAAGTCCCTTCCAGTTTTGTGTCCCTAACTGCAGAAGTAAAGAAAACTCGGTTACAGTGAATGGAAATGCAAAGCTGTATCCTGGCAGCTTACTGGTTATATAGAAAGCCAAGAGCAGCAGTGCATGCTCAGGCAGTCTGGCTGTGAGTACAGAATTTAAATAAGCTGATTTTTTTAATACAAAGTCAACTATTGTAGTGATTCTTGGGTCTCTTTGCACTTATCACTAGGCTTTGTGATTGCTGGTAATTTTATGCAGTTGTGGGCACAGAACTCGTGCTCTAAAAGTACAAGCCTATCTTACCTAAGCCAGTGGATCTCAACCAGGATGCTGAGAAAGCCCTTCGGGGGTGCTGTGGTGTGGCCGTGGCTGCCCTGAATCTAACACGATTGAGAAGCACTGACTTAAGCTAAGGGAGAATCTCCCTTGGGTCTCAGCAGTTTAGGGTCTATGACAGTTAAGTAGTTCTGATCCCGTCTGATGGACTGAGTGGTGACATGAGCACTCTGGCCAGTTTATGACTGTATATCTTTGCATGGCAGAAATAAAACCCCATGAGATAGCAGAGACATGCACTTTCACTTTGATTTAGTTTTCAAAGCCCCCAAAATATGCTGGTGCAGCTGCTTCACCAAAATGAGTGCATTCAGGATCATTTAGTGCAGAAGGGGCTCAATAAATGGAAACATAAATAATCAAAAAGGAGGAGTGAGCAGGCAAAGGAAGAAAAGGATGATAATAATAAGATCATGCAGTTACTTAGTGCTGTAAATATACAGATTTTATGGGCGATTGGTCAATTTTATTTTGTTTAACCTTGCCACCCTTCACGAGTTTCCTAAGTGTAACTCCCACCTCAGATTTGCATATTTTCGTTTTATACCGCTTATCTCAGAAGGGGGTGTATTCGATCACGTTTAGTATAAAGTCCAGCAGCGGAACTTTCCGTCCGAGATAATTGGTTGAATTTTGAGGCAAACAAGTCTAAATTTGAGCAAACAAATGCTTTTCCCCATTAATATTACGCAAACAAACTGGTTACTTCATTGAAACAAGGCAAAGCGTGTTTTGTGTTCACCAGGAAATGCCATGTGTATTCAGCGCTGGGATTCCTCACATACTTCCTTGCATCCTGACTGAGTAACAATGGATTACTAGGGAGATGTTCGGCAGTGCAGAATATTAAGTTCATGCTACGAAATGCCCAGGTACCTGGTCAATCAAGTTGCATGGTAGAGAACAAAATGGCATATGCTGAAGTCTTTCAATTTAGCAAAGTGACAACTTGACCAAGAGGTGAGTAAGGAATTTAGGTACGGGTGTGAGTCCTAATTAAGCCATAAAGGGATGCAAGTCCTCTGCTGAATTGGGGCCTGAATGAATAAGGAAACTGAAACGTTCCTATTGGTTGCTGTGCAAGCAGATCCTGCATAGTGAAGCGAAGCATTTAAAGCAGCTCCCACCAGCCAACCACAGTTTGCCTCTGTGCCAGGGAATTCTTGCCCCAAGACACAGATTAATGGTGTCACTTAAATGCTCCCAGCCTCTGTGAGATGCAAAGTCCTACGGGAGTGAGAGTTGCTCACTATGTTGATCATCACCAGTTAGTGGATGGCATATTCTGAACCTCTTAAAAAGATGCTTGCCTAGCATAAATTACTGTTTTTAAAGGCCACATTCAGTTCCCCACCCCACAAGTCTCAACCCAGAGGTCTCCACTGAGTTCATGCTGGACTTCCATGAGCATAACTAACTGCAGAATTTGGTATGGTTCCCAGTCATGACCAGTAACGCAAAGTTAGAGGAGGGTGTAAATTTGATGTGGAAGTGCCCTTCTCCCTCCCTGCTATCTTGGGTGTTACCCCCAGCGGAAGGCTGCCTTAAAACTATGCATACCTGTGCTTCCTGTGAAATATGAATTTTTCATTCCTACCTGGGAGAACTTTTACAATCTCTGCTCTCACCTATGCCCCAGAAAGGGTGAGCGTTCCCCAAAGCTTGCAAATAAATAAAATAAATTTGTTTGCAAATATCTAGTTTACCTAATAACAGATATCACCTCTTCCATGAGTTTTGATTCCTTTTTCCTGTGCTGGATTTGTGTCCGGGCTCCTGGAACTGCTGCCTGTCTGGGCCCTCCAGATCGATCCCCTTCGGGACCTCCGGGTTGACATGGCCTCGTGGAGGGCTGCCCAGGCCCCTGCTGCCCCAGGCAGGGTCAGCCGCCACCCGGTTCCACTCGGAGGGGTTGCTGGGGACCGATCTGGAGGTCCAAGTTGGGCAACAGTTCCAGGAGCCCAGTCACAAATCCAAATTTGCCCTGGTGACCGGCATGTCCAAAAGTGGCAGGCTTGGTGGGAGATCGCGGGCGTGTGCTGCCCAGTGGTGGTGCCTGTTCATTAGGTCTGTGCCCATCAAGTGAAGTGGCTGTCAAGAGTGGACTTTTGTAGGGGTCCCAAATATTGTTCATCCTTATTATTTCATGTGTGATAAAGGGCAAGGGAGGAGGAAGAAGAAGGACACTCATCTTTTGTGGCACAGCAACATGGTACTTAAAACACAGGCCATGACCAGAGCGGACTGTAGGTAGGGTCTGCACGGGATCAGAGAGACCAGATCCCAGGCTTCCATTGACTTCTGTGATGCAGTAGCACAACCCAGGTTCTGCATCATAGCTTATCTCTCTATATACCGTATTTTCCCCACATACAACATACACCTTTCCCCCCCAAACCACCCCTCTCCCTCAGAATCGGGGTGCGTGTATTAAACTAGGAAGCTAGAAGCAGGCTGGTTTGATCTCTGCTCCACAATGCGGCAGCTCTGGTATTACTCGTCAGGCAGCGGAGGGAGTCAATGGCCCATTTTTCTTCACAAATGTTAAAGATCTTCACTCCTTGTTAATGGTCTTGACGCTTCACTAATGAAGCTAACCTTTCTTAGGGGAATTTTGCAATCTGCTAGGATTATTGGTCTCTCCTATTTTACAGCTCTAGCTCTTTTCGAGATCAGAGGTCCACCGATGGAGACCAGTCTTCAGCAATAGCTAGTGGTTTTAAACAGGAAAAGGAAAATGAGTCAGCTGAAGATTAGGCTCTGTCCCTGCCCTCTGCAGCCAACTGGGGGAGGGAGGGGGGATAACTTTTTTTTCATAATGCCTTTCAAAAACAAGGTGCATATTATATTTGGTGATGTGTTATATGGGAGAAAATATATGGTTACTAAGTATTACTGCTTTCTTGCTATCATGTAAGCAATATGCTTGTTTACTAGTAAAAGGGAAAATCAGAGTACTTTGCCTAACATTTGTGTGCAATTAATGTTCCTCTCTCGGATGATTTGCTTTCTCCTTTTATACACAGCTCTGTTAATAATGATCAAGATGTAGCTGTCTCTCTCCTTCCCTAGAAGCAACTCCCCTGCCCCCTCCTCCCTCTTTCCCAGCTTAGAGAAAGCTTATGCCAAATTTTCATGCCTCGACCTAGTGATCAAAGGGAAGCTGAAATGAGATTTGAGCCCTCGGAAAAATGGGTGCAGAGAAACAGAGGACGTTTTCAAAATGTGTTTAATGATCTGCACGGCATTTAAAACTATCTGATAGAGGTATTCTGTCCAGTCTGAGATATTCTGACACATGAAAGCTCAGAGTGGCCAAATTTTGAATGTGATTACCAGGGATCCTGGTTTTCTCTGATTAAAAAAAAAATCCCCAATTTTCAGATTAAAAAATCTGAAAATTGGTTTTTTTTTTAAAAAAATCAGAGAAAACCACAATCTCTGGTGATGCGATTGGAGTAAACCTAGAATAAGTCTCTCAAATTGATTGTGCTTGCCCTATATATCCAAGTACAGTGCAGACAATAAATTGATCTTCAGTGCTCATTCTCTTTAGCAAACATAAATGCTACTGAAGGTAACTTTATACATAATTGATTCTTACTCTCCAAAATTAGGGGGAAGGACCTGGGGGAGGAGACAACTGGGCAGTGATAGGGAGCTCCAATGGTTGCTTTCACTGTTTTGATTTGTTTGAAGGTTTCATTTGTCTTGCTGATTTCTGTGATTCCATAAAACCGTGTTTTATTTTAAGATTTCCCTTAAAAGGTTAACTTCCTTTCTCAGGTTGATTTCTCTAAAACCAGAGTAACTCCATCAACTTCTGTAGCTTCATTCTGGATTTATCGTGGTACCATAATTTACAATATGCTTCCTGTTAATATTTGGTGAAATTATTTACAAACTGGTTGAGGCATAGACCTGAGGTCCATATTATTAGAGTTTCACTTTGCACATGATATAAATCTCTATATAGGCAGGCTCCTTCTTTCACTCCCACTGGAGCTCTAGGGCATTTGTACATGCCATGTTTTTTGCCCTTTCTTGCACTGCAGCGGCACGACTTTTTGCATGAGCGGGATTTCTAGATGCTTTAAAAATCTTTCTGGTGCTTTAAACTAAAATTCCTTAGATGTAGTTTAGTTTGGCTCCCCAGAAATTAAAGCATCACATCCATGGATTTGTTGCATGCAAACACAAAGGCACTCAAAAATGTGCAGTGAGCCTCTTTGTGGAGCTGCACTGTAACTTTTTTGTAGTTCACCCCTTCAAATTGCTGAGGCTTTCAAATTGCTTTTGCTTCTTTTTTGTTGTGCTGTGTGCTGGTTCCCTGCTCCTACAGCGGTCTGGCAGGGCATGGGGTGGGGGGCCCCAGGCGGGGGGGAGCAGTGCAGGACCATCCTGCTCTCCTGCAGCACCGTCCAGGGATTGGGCTTAATTCATTCAAGAACCTAGTACATGCAAAGACTGATGCAGCGCTCCAAAAAAAAACAAGTTTATATTTTATAAACCTATTTAATTTAATGAGGATTAAACCGTACAACATGTACAGGTGCCTATAGATGAATACCCAGCAACAGCCAGAGGCAGAAAGCAATCAGAATGCAAGACATTTACTCGCTCGAATTGTGATGCTACCCCACTATAAACACAGAGTAACTCTATTGAGTTACCATGGATTTTCACTAAGGCAACTGACACCCAGTTATCATTCATTGCTTAAATTCTCCAGTTATTCCAGCTGCTTTTTTGATTCCTCTTGCCTTGAGAATTTTGAGATGTTAGACAAATATCTCACTGCAGCCTGCGTAAATCAGACTTTAAAAGGACATTCATATATAAAAGAACAATGCTGCTGAAGTAATATATTTTGGGGTTGTGAGGTGGAGCCTATAAAGAGGAAATAAAGCCATATGAGTTTCTGATATAGAAAATTAAGTCATGGCAGTGGTGGAAAATGGATCTATTGTTCTTGCTCATGTATTTAGAGCTACACTGTGTCACACAGCAAAGTTCTGGTCTTAACATCATCTTAAATCAAGCTCCATTCCCCTTAACTGTATATTGCAGTCACTCCTTTCTGTTAGCACCAAATCTGCTGTAGTTTCTCCTGCAAGCTGCAAACCAGCAAACTGCTTGCTGGCATTTGAATCCTGGAACATGTGACTTCTTAGCATTGGTCAACCTATGCAATAGAGTATCTATGCATCTAGGAATCCACTTGGACAATATATACATCATGAGATGCACATAAGCGCTACTGTTCTTGCAGTTGGCAAAGGAACTTTTTAGCTTGATACTCACGTGTAAGTCTTTGCTCTGTTGTGCTTGGTGGGTTTCAATCTTTTCCCTGTAACTGCAGGCAGAAAAAGTTTCCAGTTACTCTCTCCTGTCAGCTAGCATTTTCTCTCTTTTTGAAGAAATTCTATTTTCTGTGCAATTTGAGGGGATTGAAAGTAGCACAGGGTGCTTGTTTATCCATGCAATTGCTACTGCACAATTACCTCCATTATATCTTGCTTTCTCAGACTGGTTATTGTGAAACATTTATTCAGCCAACTCTGCAGGAGAGTGTTTTTAAGGAATTCCTGCATCCTACAACAATAGGGGAGAGCAGCCAAATTCTCAGCTGGGGTGAGTGAGCCCAGCTTGATTGAAGTCAGTTAATTTCTGCTCCAATATATCTAAGCTCACGTTGCTAGATAGTAAGTACAGGGTACATACTGGCAATAGAAAGGAAGTGCAAGAATTTGCACACATGCTATCCCATGTAGGACAAGGCTTGTAATACTTGCATTATTCTTGCTAGAAACAAGGCATTTATCATAGCTAAATGCGTTTTTAAAGCACTCAGTTAAATGGAACCTGAAAAATAGAGCTCCCATTTAAGGATCCAACATTCATTAAATCCATCCCCATTTCAGTGTTCAGAGGCCTGTCTCTGACTATGTTATCTCTGGATTCACAATCACATTAACCTCATATCATTTTTATTGGTCATTTTTCATTTGCAAAATTAAAAGGCAGTAAATAGAAGAGACTAGAGAGAGTCTAGTGTATTTCTCAATGGCATAGGCAGTTGGGTTAATAAGTGCAATTATCCTGGTTGGCAGAAAATTGGTGGCAATTAATATGCCAGTGCCATTCCCTAAACTCTGTGTTTGACTTGAATCTGCTTTATTTACTTTCATTTAAGAGGTATTTAAAAAAAAATCCTATTTGTATTTTCCTTTCAGGAGGAAAAAAAACACTTGCAGATAAAAAAGTATATTCAAACCCAGGGAACAGCACAGGCGGCTTTACATTAAAACAAACAGACAAACTCTTCTTACCTTCCAGGTGAGTGCAGTGAGGCAGCTCTTGCTGTGCGCTCCAGGGTTATCTATTCCAGGAGGAGGGCAGAGTCGAGATAGTGGGAAAGGACAAGTGCCCCACCAGTTTATATAGCCTTGAAGAGCTCCCAGTCATAATACAGCTAATTAGAGCACTTTGTTTTTTTCCCCCACCCTCCCATGTTGAAAGCACAGAGCAGCCTCCAAATCTGCAGGCCATTTGACTCCCTCACCTTTTGTTTGGCTTTGTCCTTGGTTGCCTGCCAAATGTCTTGCCAAATGCCATCTTTCTTCCTGCTTTTCTTTGTTTCCATTAAACCTATTTCCCCCTTCCCCAGGTCACTTAATTGTTAAAACTTTGCCATTTAAGCCATAGAAGGGGGTTCTCCGTGAGTCTGAGCTGGGCATGCCTGTAGTAACGCTGCTTCCAGGAAATAAATGAGCACCCACCGAAAGCATCACACGACATGTTGAGGTGGAGGGTTTCTTAACAGAAGGGGGGGACCAACTACACCCCCTAGAAACTGAGAAGGCTCCAGAGACTGGGCCTTGCTTCCTAACAATATTTGGATCTGGATTTGACCCTAGCCCCTATGCCCAAATCCTGAGGCTGTCTGGAAGTGAGTGGGGCTCATCTTAGCTACTCTGCAGCTATCTCTCTTAACAAGCTGAACTTCTGCTCTGGGGGCTCTCTCATGACCAGTTTTTTAACCAGTTACTTAAGAAATTCAAGTTATTTTTTTCTACCTGGGCCCCCTGGACTGTGGGAAGAATCTGGCATGATACAATTCTGGCATATTTGAGAAGTTTATAAGGCAAACCTGCGTAGTTGTGACAGGCAGAGAGAAGGTATGGAGGGGGAGTCTTGGAAAGGTGAACAGTTTGAGAAAGGGCAGAGGAAACCTCGTGACCTTAGCTATTTTCTATATAGACTTGAAACACAGTATGTTATCAGTTAAGGCCTTCAGAGACTAGTGTGAGGACCACAAGCCAGGAGATTTCCCTTGTGGTTTCAGCCGGGAGACAAAGAGCTGGGAATTGAAGTAGACCTCGTTAGGTTTTTGTGAACATATGGACTCAGGCTCTGCATTAACTGAAGTCCATTAAGGTCCCCATCCCTGCACTAGCTAAACACTGATTGCACAGAGCGTATTCTGAAGAAGACCTTTTCGAGGGCATTCACTTTCTTCCAAGCTGGCCCGGGGTAGCAAGAGTCTGTGCTGGGCCTCTGACATCCCGGTAATTTGTCACGAGTCTCACAGGCGCCAGCCACCCTCTGGGACCCAGCCAAACTCTAATGTCCTGTAGTATATGGTATGCAAGATAAGCAGCTGTTACCCCAGGAGGCTATTTTGATCTTGCTGTTATTTACCGTCCTTCTCTAGTTATGATTCACTGGAAGGGGAAAGTTTAACTGGGATTTAGGCGGATGAATTTTGTATACACAGAGCTTTTTCATGATTCCTCGAGGCCAGGACGTGTCTTGAAAGCTGGACTTGTAGCCACTTTTGCCCTCCTCACGTTTTGGGTCTGTTCAGCTAATGTGGTGAATACACATAGCTTCTTTATTACTCTGATATTTGCACTGCCTAGGACCCACTGGGCACTGCGTGCAGATAGGCCTGGGGGGAGTCCAGTAATGCTACAACCCTATTCCCCAGCTCTGCTTTCCCAGTCCCATAGACTACCATCAGAGGACACTGAAAGCTGGGGGTTTTGAGAGCAAAACCAAGAGGAAAGGCACTTTTCTACAACACATTCAGGACTATTCTAGTGGAGGTCATCCAGACCCTAATCTAAGGAGCCCAATTGATATTGGGCTCAATAGGACCTGGCCCTACAATCCTTTTGTGCTTTCAACGGATGGTCATTTATTGCTGTGGCCAGTTGTGGCATTCACGTTTTAAAGAAGATCTTGGCAAAGTGGAAAAGAGCAACAGCTTGGATTCAAGTTCAGGAGAATACACCTTATAGTGACCCCCTCTTCAGCTTGTCAAAGAGAAAGTTAATGGGTAACCTGATTGCCATTCAGCAGTACATGGATTTCTGATAATGGGTTGCTCGTCCATGTAGAAGGCAAAGGGATAATGAGATCCCATGAGCTGAACTTAGCACATTCAGACCAGATAACAGGCTCAAAATAAAGGCAATTAGCCATTGGAAGAACATGCCAAAGTATTCTCCGTCATGCCACGTGGAGTCCCAAAAGCAAGACTGCATGGCTTGCAAAATGATAAGGTTTCACTCAAGCAGAAGTGCTGAGCTTGATGCAGGAATGTCTTAGTGCTAGAGCCACAGAGAGATGCTGGCTCAGTTCTCAGCATTGCAATGTCTCATGTTTAGGTGCCTGGCTCCTAGGATAGACTCCACAGCCCTGAATGAGGTGCCTATGCTCCATAGCCAACCCAGTTGGGAATCTGGAGTGGGATTCACAAAAGTTAAAGCCCTGCCCAAGGGGCTGCCTAAACTATCCAATGGGAAATGCAGAAGAGGAGGGTGTGGCTTAAACTCACTACTCATGGGAACTCAGGTACCTGACTCAGGACTGCAGGGAGGCACCTCTATCTAATGAGGATGCAGCCTGTAACCCTCCCCTGGACTGCAGCAATTAAGTCATTCTTTTGCAAATGGAGTTGAGTGGTGGGCTTTGCTTTTCTTTTAAAACACATTTTCCCCATGGCCTTTATCCAACAGCGATTAGAGCAGTCACAAAGGAAGGGGGACACCTGGGCTGGAGGCTTTCCTTATTCCGAGGAGCTTCAAGTCATTATTTTCCACCTTCCAGAAGAGTGCCCTAATTGCCAGCCTGCAGGCTCTTCTGAGGTGGTGGGGTGGCGGCTGGGGGACACATCTCTTCATCTTCCTCTGGTTGCACCTGCTGTATTGTCCAGAAGAGCCTCCATTCATTTTGCCAGAGCTTTGGTCCCTCAGCTGGGCACGAGGACCCTCCTCCAAGGCTCAGTACCCTTCTCCAAGGACAGGTTATGCATTTGACATTAAACAGTCACTGAATGAATGATGTAAACAGCTCCTGGAGAAACTCCTACTCCCCAAGGCAACTTGAACTCACATGTTTCACTTCCCAGGGAAGTAAATGCCCTTCATCACCAACCTGTTCTGGGGGTGGGTCTTTCCCTTACTCCTGTTGAAGCTATTTTATTGGACCTGGGTTTGGAGTCTACTTCTCAGCTCTTTCAAGTCAAGGCCCTAATTCCTAGGTTAGAGAGGCTCTCTCTCTCTCCCTTTCCCTATGAAGATTTAATCCAGATGTGCAAGTGGAATAGCTCCTACAGAAAGGACTCCTCATCTCAAGATTGGTGACGAAGAGCACTTTCCTGACAGGGGACTCACAAGTTCAAGTTTCTCCACTGGAGAGAAGGGAATTGACTGGGTTTCCCACATCCTGGCTGAATACTCTGGGTAAAAGCTCTGAACTACTGGGTAAAAAGTAGGGGCACCAGTTCCCCTCTCTTGCTACTCGGTGACTTGAAAGGTGCTTCCTGGGAGTGCCTGCTGGACCAGTTCCAAGGGGCGAGATGGGTGGAGGAATGACTGTCCTGTGCAGCCTAACAAGGTTTAGATCAGAGGTGGGCAATTATGTGGGCTGGCGGGTCACTTAAGGAGTTTCGGTGAGTTGTTGCTGGCCGGAGGGGTGGGGGCTGACATGGCCCAGTGTGGTGGTGGTGGGGGTGTGCTGACCTGGTCTACTACGGGGCAGGGGGTGGAGGGAGGAGGAGCAATTTATCCTATCCAGCCCCACGCCTGTCCACACCCACTGCTGGGGGCACTGGATGGGGCTGGTGGGTGGGTTTTCATGGAGATGGGACTAGGACCCTCACAGGCAGGGTGCATTCGGCTGGCTGGCTGGGCTGGGTCTGTAGGCGGGCAGGGAGAAGCATCTGGGAGTGAGATGGGCAGCTGTGGCCAGGGCCTGGATCATGGGGTGGTGACAGCCCCAATCTGCTTTGAGCAGTGTGTTGGACTAGATGACCTCCTGATGTTCTTTCCAATCCTAATTTTCTAT